TGTCATTGTCACCCCTGTGTACACCCCGTCCCATAATATATGTAGACCTTCCACTATCTATATACACGGTGTAACTCTATGAAGGATCAGTATATACTCTCTCCAGTGTCATGACACTTGTATATCCCTCTCCCTCATGTGTGTACACTCTCCGGGATCTCTACTGTTGTACATATAAGATCTGGAATCAGAATCGTCGTCTCTCTTTTCCGGGCTGGTTCTGTTGTTACGGGTGGAGCGCACGTGTCTCCTGGCTGATAGGAATACCTGCCTGTTGTACTGACTGCTTCCTGAATTCTGTATTCTGCTGTATACACGGATTTCCATGTACTACTGTGTAGTCGCAGGTCCTTGTCTTCTCTGCACCCCTGTGATGTATATACACCGTCTTCTGTATACACCCCGCTACAGACACACCCTTCATATTACTGTTTCATCTCTTCAGTTTCCACACCCGGCAAATAAACATTTTAGGTTGCGTGTTCCTTATATGTCCAGAAAGCATGAAGGAATACCCCCCCTCCCCTCCCCCGTCTATTATCTGTATAGAGTAGACTCTGAAGGGGTATCTATCAGTCTTGGTACATGGGACGCACAAAACATCAGCAGTGAGACCTAGTTACTATAAGATCTCAGTTTCTTCAGCTCCCTCTGCTGGTCACAAAGGAGCACTACACCAATATAAACTATACCCCTCACCACTGCATGATGGCTCCTCTTGCCGAAAGTCTTCTGAAAATGCAGTTTGCCCGGCATGTAACGTTATTCTTATTATTATAATACAGGATTTATATAGCGCCAACAGTTTGCGCAGTGCTTTACAATATAAGGAAGACATTACAATCACAATACAATTCAAGACAGGATGGTAAGGAGGGCCCTGCCCCTGAGGGCTTACGTTATCACTTTGGCTTCAGTGTTTTCAGAGTCACAGGCAAGAAAAGTGGGCAGGCACTTCGAAGGTAAGGCAGCATTGTTTTGCTGGGAAAGGTGTTCTCTGAATGGAAAAGGGGCGGATCATGATGTCATTGCAGTTCGTCCCACCAGTACTACATCTCCTAATAGTCCTATCCAAATATAGTATGTGGGCAGGCGCTTGGGAGTCACGGCAGCAGCAGCATTGCTTTGCTGGGAAAGGCGTTCTCTAAAGGGTGGATCGTGACATCATTGCACCTTGTCCAATCAGATTCCCTTGTAGTCATTGACAAAAATATTAGGCGTTCTCTGAATGACTGCGGAGTACTGCAGCGTGGAGGGGTATGTAGTGATTGACAATCATTTTTATATGAGCGGGAGGATCTAAAGATGAAAAATAAATATTGTTGTTCTTTAAGGGCTGATTCACACGGGCGTGCACGTCCGTACAGCGTGCACACCCGTGCAAGGACCCGCCCCCGGGAAAGACAGGTGCTGCGTTTAATTGTGTGCAACAGTCTAGATCCCTATGGGAGGACACGGCTGCACACGATTACATGCGGTTACACACAGTGCGGAACCTGCACGTCTGTGCTGGTCAAGGTGTCCGTACTTGGATGCACACTGTCTGCGTCCAAGTGAGGGCACCCGGACCCGCATGGATGTGCAGATTCAGATCTGCGTGTAACTGCATGCACCGCGTCCTCCCATAGGGATGTACAGGCTGCCACAATTACAGGCAGCGCCTGTCCCTCCCGGGAGCGGGTCGTTGCTGTACGGACGTGCACGCCCGTGTGAATGAGCCCCGACATGCGTGGTGTTTATATATCACTTCCATCACAGATCCAGAAAGCAGCAACCTGACATCATGTCATTTCGGGGCGATTTGGAGCGTTTCTAAAACATTCATGTTTGTGTTGGAGTGGAGGTCAGAGAAGGTCAGCGGGGAAATCCAAAATCCTCCATGCTGCGGCCCCTGAATGATTGTGGGCTCAGTCTTGTGTGGGCACAGTGCGAGCTTTCATTGATGGCGTCATTCGGTGGGCGGCCTCGACTATGGACTACGACTATCCTCCAGCAATCAGCGGCGGGCTTCTTGTCAGAAAGACCGTGATTAACTCTTCATTGGTGTGTGTGTGTTTTGCCCCGGAGGAACCCTTGACATTTTTAGGACTTTCGGGAACCCCTGCTGAAAAGTATTATATCTGCAGGTCAAGGTACATTAATGCAATCTGTTTCAGAAAGAAAACAAAGAATATGGCACACCAGAGTATTGATCAGATCATTTATTAACACCTTCTTGCTCAAAAAATAATTTTGCTAATTATTATGAAGTGAAAGAATAGTGATAACAAAAAGCACTGACAGTAAAACTTATACTGCTTCCTGCCTGACATGAGGGGTCAGTAGAGAATTGGACTTTGAAGGCCATTAGAAAGATGCCCCTTTACATTGCTGGTCATTGGAGAAATGGCCTCTTACGTTGGTGGTCATTGGAGAAATGCCCCTTTTATGTTGGTGGTCAGTGGAGAAATGTCCTCTTACGTTGACGGTCATTGGGACAATGCCCCTTTACGTTGGTGGTCATTGGAGAAATGTCCTCTTACATTGGTGGTCATTGGAGAAATGCCCCTTTACGTTGGTGGTCAGTGGAGAAATGTCCTCTTACGTTGGTGGTCATTGGAGAAATGCCCCTTTATGTTGGTGGTCAGTGGAGAAATGTCCTCTTACGTTGACGGTCATTGGGACAATGCCCCTTTACGTTGGTGGTCATTGGAGAAATGCCCCTTTATGTTGGTGGTCAGTGGAGAAATGTCCTCTTACGTTGACGGTCATTGGGACAATGCCCCTTTACGTTGGTGGTCATTGGAGAAATGTCCTCTTACATTGGTGGTCATTGAAGAAATGCCCCTTTACGTTGGTGGTCAGTGGAGAAATGTCCTCTTACGTTGGTGGTCATTGGAGAAATGCCCCTTTACGTTGGTGGTCATTGGAGCAATGCCCCTTTACGTTGGTGGTCATTGGAGCAATGCCCCTTTACGTTGGTGGTCATTGGAGAAATGCCCCTTTACGTTGGTGGTCATTGGAGAAATGCCCCTTTACGTTGGTGGTCATTGGAGAAATGCCCCTTTACGTTGGTGGTCATTGGAGAAATGCCCCTTTACGTTGGTGGTCATTGGAGAAATGCCCCTTTACGTTGGTGGTCATTGGAGAAATGCCCTTTTACGTTGGTGGTCATTGGAGAAATGCCCCTTTACGTTGGTGGTCATTGGAGAAATGCCCCTTTACGTTGGTGGTCATTGGAGAAATGCCCCTTTACGTTGGTGGTCATTGGGGAAATGCCCCTTTTACGTTGGTGGTCATTGGGGAAATGTCCTCTTACATTGGAGTACTTACTGTATATAAAGTCCAATGAGAGCACCAAACAAGACAGCACAAGTCAAAAAACATTTACTAATAGAATGGGTTCACAAACAACAACATGGAGCATCTGACACGTATTTGGGGGCTCAAAGACCTTCCCATTAAAGACTACAAGAACAGATTGAATAAAATAAGATCTGTGACCATGCTGCCGGGCAGAGGTACAGGGAACATAAGACGAGTTGAACAAAATTGCAGATCTGTTGGTCCCATACTGTACGTGTTTGAAGGTAACTGCTTTCCTGTAGTTCCACTTTAAATCTCCCCCTTTGGGGACTTGGCGTATTTGGCTAACGGAACTTACTCTGGGATGTCTGGTGGCGCCCGAGTTGTGGATCGGCCCGCTGGGAGTCGGGTGTAAGTAGGATCGATCCCCTTTTTTTTGCTGCTGCTCTGATCCCTTGGATTATATGCAGTTTAAAGAGTTGTAGAGAATCCTATTATCAGTAACAGGATTACTGTGTATCACCCGTAGGGAGCCGCTCAGGAAACGAGATCAGGGAAGGCAGACGAGGCCCTTACTGGAAAAGCACCGCCGTGTAGATCCTCCTTCCCACTTTCCCTGCAGAGGTTCGCAGCCGCCGCCGGAGCTTTACCCGGGATTGCCATCTACACTTTAGAGCAAAATCCGATTTGGACTGTAGAGGATTGCTAGACATGCCGGGACGACGTGATGGTCCAAAGCAGTTTTTTTACAGACTGTTTAAAGCTGAACTCCGGAAAAGCAAATAATCTCTAAATACAAGAGCCATGTGTATTCAATCTTGGTGAGCTTTGTGTATTTCTTCCAGATCTGTGCAGTGATCCAGTGTGAGACTTGGAGCTTCCTGTAATAAAGACCGGTCACTGCTGCTCTCTCTCCTTGTGCAGGGTGACTGGTCTTGTCTCCGCCCCTACTGTAATAAAGACCGCTCACTGCTGCTCTCTCTCCTTCTGCACGGTGACTGGTTTTGTCTCCCCCGCTCCTGTAATAAAGACCGCTCGCTGCTGATTAGAGCTGCAGCTAACGATTATTTTCAAAATCGATTAGTTAGCCGATTATTAGGTTCGATTAATCGGTTAATCGGATAAACAATAAAATACATTTTAAAAAATGGCTCCAGTGATGGGACTACTAGTTTGTATTGAGAATCATCGATTATTGAAAAAGTTGACAACTTTTTCAAAAATCGATTATAATCGATTATGTCGATTAGTTGTTGCAGCCCTACTGCTGATCTCTCTCCTTGTGCAGGGTGACTGGTCTTGTCTCCGCCCCCCTCCTGTAATAAAGACCGCTCGCTACTGATCTCTCTCCTTGTGCAGGGTGACTGGTCTTGTCTCCGCCCCCCTCCTGTAATAAAGACCGCTCGCTACTGATCTCTCTCCTTGTGCAGGGTGACTGGTCTTGTCTCCGCCCCCCTCCTGTAATAAAGACCGCTCGCTACTGATCTCTCTCCTTGTGCAGGGTAACTGTGGCTCGCTCCCTCCTGACCGGGGTTTGAACTGGGGACCTCCAGTGCTGCAAGGCAGAAGTGCTAATATTGGGTTTCCATTTACTTCAATGGCACAGAATGACCCATCCAGGCATTTGTTATCACACACATTTGGGGTATAGATTCATAGACATTATAACATTGTCATGCTCGGATCTGCAGACGTTAGATCTTCGCCTATCTGCATTATGTGCTCACAAAACACGCCAAACCCTCATCCTTCAAATGCTCCTTGGCCGAGGCACTGTATCTTGGCATGGGGCTGTATAGTGGGCCTCCAAGGGGTTAATCACGCTGCAGCTGTTTCTATATAGGGCAGCGTAGCATGCGTTGTCAATGACGTGCTGCGGGTGATTGGATGCAGTGCAGTACAAGTCTATCGCTAGCACCGCGCGCTGCGTCTCTGCTCACTGTAGATATATTGACACTGCAGAGCGGCTGCCAGCTGCAATAATCTCTGGGTGCTGATGGGGGAATTTTAGGCTTCGGAGGAAGATGTGAGGGAATGGCTGTGTCTGCTGCATGTTGTAGGCTGCGAAATTAGTGATTTATGGACACAGGATCTGGCAAATTAAAAGGATTTCTCCGCTTCTCTGTAGCTGTTGTAAACTACTATTAAGCCGGATTGTCATAGCAATACCTTAGACAGAGGTCATTCCAGGAGAGCTGGAGATCTGCTGCATATCTCTCCGCAGCCATCTCTCCTTTCCCGGATAAAGCCTTCTTTGTTTTTTGATTGACAGGTCCACTTTGCAGGAGGTGCCGCAGCAGCTTGGCCTTTTACCAGGTTTCAGTCGCTTTCAGTCAAATCTTGACGAGGTTGGCTGGATTAGATGGAGCGGTACTGATGACTCGATATTCGGATCATCGGGGCTCATTTGTCTTGGCAGTCAGGGAAGTGCCAGCCAGCCATCTCTCTCTTTTAAGGTCTTGTCACTCTTTGCTGACACCATCAGGATTTCCAGTAAGTTTGGAGCTTGACGTCCCCGTTCCCTGTGATTTGTGCTGCGGTGTGGACTCGTTTTGCTGAGCTGGGCCTGACCTCCTGTAATTCAATAGAATAGTCTGCCCGAAAGAGTTGTAGAATCTCTGTTTTCTTGTCTAGTTTTCACAGTGAAAGAAGCCATTTTGTTCCTGAATCTTCCTTCAGCTTATCAAATTTCTAATGACATCACTGTGGCAAGACGGACACTAGTACCATCTGTAGATGCCAGCACTCCTGCTTCTTATAGGTGCCAGCACACCCGCTTCTTATAGGTGCCAGCACTCCTCCTTCTTATAGGTGCCAGCACTCCTCCTTCCTATAGGTGCCAGCACTCCTGCTTCCTATAGGTGCCAGCAAACCTGCTTCTTATAGGTGCCAGCACACCTGATTCCTATAGGTGCTACCACACCCGCTCCCTATAATTGCCAGCGCACCCGCTTCATCCAGATGCCAGCACACCCACTTCCTATAAATGTTAGCACACCCGCTTCCTATAAATGCTAGCACACCTGCTACCTGTAGCTACCAGCACAACCACTTCTTATAAATGCCAGCAACGCTGCTTCCTATAGATGCCAGTGCGCCTGCTTCTTATGTCTGCAGATAAGTCAGCCAATAAGACTTTGGCTATGGTGTTCCCAGCCCCGCCTTCCTGCGATATGTCCTGTGTCACCTTTAATGATTGTGTCCTGCCCACTCGGCACCCCTCCGTTTTTCAATCAACTTTTGTTGAAGGAGCCAGTCTAAAAATCTTTGGCTAAATAGTGTCTGCATGCAGTCAGATGCAAGCACTGTCCGGGTATTCAGCAGCAGCCTCCTAATACAATAGCCTGGAGGGGGGGGGATCCCTCCATCGATGCTAAACAGTGTCCGTTAGATTTGCAGGCACAAATCCATTGTTGTATGGCCAGCCTTAGAAAGCTTGCTTCCAAAGATCCCATTGCTCATTTACTGTGTGGTGATTGTGGTGGCGCTGGATTAGAATCCTCTAAGATTTGTCAGTATTATGTTAAGATGTGGAGTTGTGTAAGGTCAGGCTGCTCGCATGGAAGGGAGCACTTCAAAAACTGAGCTGCTTTTCAACGTGGATCAAGTCATCGTTGTGTAGGAGCGCCAAGCAATAAATACTGGAAGATGGAGACCAGAATTCTCATTATCTGTTAAGAAACAGGCCAATCCATCCCAATAGGTTTGCACGCCCTTCTTTAGGGCTTTCTAGTTTGGAACGTAGGCAAGTATCGATGTGTGTTCCAAGTTATCTACATGTGTGAGCTGACAGGTTGTATAGTGATAGACAACAGAAAATTACTGACGTTGGCAGCAATCCAGTGGCAGGTGTTCCATGTGTCGTCATGAAGAAGGGGAGTGGGTGTCTTAAAGTGTATGTCCTGCCAAAACCCTTTCTTTAGTTAAGAAGGGCTTAATAACTCCTGTTAGAGTTTTATTTCTGTCTGTGCCACTATTGCAGGTTTTCTCCCACTTCCTGTCTGGTGAAACTGTTACCAGCAGGACAGGAAGAAGGGGCAAATCTCTCTAATGGTAGAGAAATGTCACCAGCACACCAGACTCCTTCAAGGATAATCAATCGTGGATTTATTCAGAACTCATGTCAAATACACAAGCGCTTTCGAGACCAAACAGGGTCCCTTCTATGTCACTGCTATGCCTGATGAAGGGACCCTGTGTGGTCCCGAAAGCGCTTGTTTATTTGACATGAGTTCTGAATAAATCCATGATTGATTATCCTTGAAGGAGTCTGGTGTGCTGGTGACATTTCTCTATTATGTGCAACTTGCGGCACCATCCGCTGTCATTCCGAGCACCCTTCCCCATATTCGGGGCTGTCCGGTAAGCAGTGCAACAAACCTTCTTCAAATCTCTCTAATAGAGCCCCAGATAGCAGTAAAACCCAAGAGGCCTCGGTCAACCAGGTGTCATTTTTGCTGAATCTATTATTAACAACCAGTATGGAACTGCTTCTTCCCACCGGTCGTGTCTTATTCCATCTAGCCAACGACATCATGCAGGACTAGAGCCCACTGAGATGACTCCGAGATCCCTTTTGCATTCCGAAGAAGACTGGAGTGGCAGCTTAAGGAATAAGGACTAAGGCAATAGATGTGGGATCAAGGAATAAGGCAATAGATGTGGGATCAAGGAATAAGGCAATAGATGTGGGATCAAGGAATAAGGTTTGGATACCTCTTTATTATGGTCCCCTGTAGACTCAATGAGCATTGTATTGTGCATACACCAGGAGGGGCACAGCTTTTATTTATTTGAAGACTGGAACTCAACTGTTGCAACTGGTGCAGTGTTCCATCTGCAATTATTTATTTCTTGGTGCTACTACACAATGATACCTTGAACCAGAGACTCCATTGGGGAAGGACAATCATGCAATGATGACCAACCAGCATGAAGAGTAAGACTTTGGGTTTGGACTTACCACTTGGGTCCCTAAGAGGCCACTGGATGACTTGGAGGACCAAAGACCGACAACAAACATGCTCCTCTTGCAGCACGGAACAACGGCAATTGTATCTCTGTACTAGATGCAGGGCAAAAGTCTTTGTCAATCTCTGTGGAGAAATCCGCAGGAGATGCTGGTTTGGGAACAAGAGAGATCCTTCTGCTGCCCTTTTCCACACCATTAGGTCAGCCTATGAGGTTTATATCTAACTTGTGTCTCCTTTCTGTCTTCCACAGAGAAAGCCACAGATGGCTCCCTTCAGAGCGAGGACTGGACGCTGAACATGGAGATCTGTGACATCATCAACGAGACAGAAGAAGGGTGAGGAAATCATGGAAAATAGCATTTTGGATAGTTAAGGTTTTCTTTCCTATACTGAGAAAACTAAAGTGAACCCCTTCCCATTAACACACTAATTACATTTTCTAATTAAACCTTTCTGTTTTAATTACATGGCTTATGTTGGATCCAGTGATGTCATCACTGGGTCCCTGTGCTTCTTCCATTGCTACAGGTCATGGCTGGTAGGAGGGGCCGGCAAGATGCTGAAGTTTAATCTGCTTGTATTTTGGCTTCCCTAGTTCCCCCTTCATCAACATGAGGTGTTTCCTTTTTCATTAGAGACCCGATTTTATACCCAGTGATGTCATCATTGGGTCTCTATGCAATGCAGGCAGATCATGGCAGGTGGAAATGGCCAAAAAGGTTTAAACGTCACAGCACCCTGCCTCAGACTGTATTTGCATGCAGACAGCTGTAGGTAGCACCCACATGCTGAACTTCCATGATTGAAGAGCTGAAATCCAATGAATGAAAGGGGCGGGCCAGGAACAGTCCCGGCTGTGATTCGAATTGAGGACCCCATTGCTGCAAACGCTAACTAAGCCACTGTTGGTTGAGCTTGCTGATTTGCAGGTCTGGTATCCCCAACTGCACCCATTGAAGGGTGTTTACTGTCTCTCAGAGACAGAGAGGGGACTGTGTTACAGAATCATGTGCCCAGAGGTTGCAGTTCCACCCTGGGACACATGAGGGAACTTGCTGAGCACTGTTTCCTGGATGATGTTAGCATTACACATGTCGTCTGGGGTCACCCTTTAATTTGTTCTCTCAGATTTGAGGTGTGTGTACGTTCCCTCTCCCGCCCTTCATGGAACAGGACACAGGCAGAGGACATGGTCACTCCTGTGTGAACCTGACTTACCAGACCAGATCTGACTATATATAGATTAATAAGCCACATCCACGCCTCCGCCCCGGGGACTGGAGACATTTCTGGTTTCTCCGCAGCTTAGAGCACAGCGACGGAAGTTTGGAGGACGGACAAAAACACGGCAGCCAAAGTCATTTCATTTCTTTAATACTTCATCAGTGCGGATAGAGCCGTGTGTGATCCATTGCGAGCATTCAGACACGTCACGGCTTGTGTTAGAGCTAATCACGGGGAAATGATTTCATTACACATATGGTAGTAGATAAATCATTGACGCTTTCCTTTCTCTGTAACGGCTGGAGTCCTCTACTATAGGCAGGGCTGGAAAAATGTTAGGGTGTCTCACCTGTCAGTCAAAAATGGCACCAGTCAGCATGACAGGACTATAGCCTTGCAATTTATGTTAAAATTTATGGGGGACAGATAGAGCTTTCTTTTGGAGGTATATAATCACCACGGGGGAGGGGGGGTGGGGTTACTATATAATGAAAAAAGTACCGTAAATGTAAAAGAAAAAAGTTTCCCTACGTTCTAGTCTAAAACATTTATTCTTACCCATATTTTTGATAAAACATAAAAGTCGGGGTCACGTCGGGTAACCGGCCTATTGCTGGGTGGGTAGGGGGGGGGGGGGCGGGGGAATTTAAAAAGAAATTGTTTTCTTTTTTAATGCTTTATTTTTTTTTTAGGATTCTTTAATTTTTGTATTACTTTTTTTTTTTTTTACACACAACTTTATTGCTGTTACATGGGGGGCTAAGAAGCCCCCTATGTGATAGCCAATTTACATGACAGGTCCTCTTTATGGAGACATCAGGGGTCTCCAAGACCCCTAATGTCACCTAGGGACCCCCAGAGAAGCTGATGAAGCAGAGATCGGCTTCATCAGCTTCTGTAGCTGGAGAGTGACACTGAATGCAGGAAGTGATGTAATATACATCACTTCCTGCATTCGGGGACTGAGAGGAGATCAAAGGGAGTTCGTATACTGAACTCCCTTTGATCTCCTGTCACAGAGCCGTGCCGGTCCCGGCCGCATCGGACACAGCGGATCTTGGGACCGGCAACGGCAGTGACAGCTTCTGATACAAGCGATCAGGCATCTTGAGACTCTCGATCGCTTGAATGTAAAGCTCCCGGCTGGCCGTGTAATTACAACGGCCGGCCGGGAAGCTGCTCATCGGGCTCCGAGCCCAAGCCCTGCCTATAGGTGTCATAGCTGTTAGGGCCACATCACGACGGACTGTGCTGCAATGCACGTGGTTTTGTGCATTCGGCAGCCCCTTCAAAATGAATGGGTGGTAACAGATCTCAACACACAAACATTGAATGCATGCTGCACAACGCACATCATGTACATGGTTACCATTGTGTACAGGTTACCACACCGCACTGGTGTGAATGAGCCCCTAGGGCAGAGGTGGGCAACTCCGGCCCTCTAGCTCTGCTTTAACTACAAATCCCAACATACTTCTGCTTCTTTGAGTCATGACTGTAGCTGTCAGTCTTGCAGTGCCTCATGGGTCTTGTAGTTGCACAACAGCTGGAGGGCCGGAGTTGCCCACTCCTGCCCTAGGGGTATTCATCACATGAGACTCTACCTCAGCGGTAGCTAAACTGCGGCCCTCCAGCTGTGGGGAAACTACAAATACTATCAAGCATCTGCCTCAGTAGGCCATGCCTGTGGCTGTCAGGGACTTGCAATGCCTAATGGGACTTTCATCACAGCTGGAGGGTCGCAGTTTGGCTACCCCTGCTCTACCTATTCCTGAACGTATTGGTGAACTGGTTCTATAAAGGGAAGGGCTGAGTGATTGAATGGGTTCCAACCTATGTCTTTATCTAGGGGGTTGGTTGCTTTTTATAAACATGTCATGCACAGTATGTACAGGTTGCTGTCCCGTACTGAAATGACTCACTCTGAACTCTCCCGCACCCCAGCTGCATACATACTGCCTTTGTAGCCACAATCCTTTGCAGGGTCTGCTTCCTACCAGTCTGGATCACCTTCCCACTGTGTGCACCTGCCTAGTCCATCTGTACAGAGTTCTACATGCTTTTCAAGCATCCTAGTGGAGTAAATCTCTTTGGGATTACACCGAGTTCTTTTTAGTGGATCCCGTCAATATTGTTGGGATCTTTACCAGCTGCAGCGCAGCTCTGCACTGTCAGCATATAGCAGGCTATATGCCCGCTATATGCTGACTTTGGGTCACAGGAGGACATTAGTAAATCTACTCCTGTGGTCCAAAAGAGAACGAAAGCCAAAACAGGTTTGGCTATAGTTCTCTGTTAAGGAAATTTTGCTGTTTCCAACCAGGCAGCAAGACTTTTTTTTTTGTACTGGTGTTCAGGTAGAAGGAAATGTGACACAGAGCTGCATGGAAGCACTGCAGACATTATACAAAATATTTATTTGGCGGTTTATACATGTCCCAAATGCAATAAATGTATTTGGCGGTTCGTGAAAATGGCGGATCGCGGATGTGATTCTCTGTGTTTTTGTGCTTGAAGGCTGGCAATCTAATATAAATGTTGATTTTTTTTCTGTTACTAGGCCAAAAGATGCGATCCGCGCCTTAAAGAAAAGGTTGAATGGAAACAAAAATTACAGAGAGGTCATGCTGGCATTAACGGTGAGTTTCCATTTTGGCTCTTTAACAAGAATCATTCAGCTGCTTCAATGGGAACGATGATGTTTTTGGTCTTTTTTTCTTTTTTATGTTGCCTAGTTTATGTACTAATTATTTTATTAATACCAAATTGTGCCCGTTGCTTAAAAGGGTCATTTGGATTGGTTTTTTTTCCTGATGGAGCCAATGCAATTCATTTTATGGCCTTGTTTTATAATACTGGAGTGTGAACAAGGTTTCTCTATCCATTGAGGCGCTTGGTGTATAACATTGATGAACCGTTGGTTCAGTGGACTGTGTCATTGGCCTCTGGGCTTGTGTCATTGGCCTCTGGGCTTGTGTCATTGGCCTCTGGGCTTGTGTCATTGGCCTCTGGGCTTGTGTCATTGGCCTCTGGGCTTGTGTCATTGGCCTCTGGGCTTGTATCATTGGCCTCTGCCCTTGTGTCATTGGCCTCTGGACTTGTGTCATTGGGCCCAGCGCTTGTGTCATTTGGCCTCTGCCCTTGGGTCTTTGGCCTCTGCCCTTGGGTCTTTGGCCTCTGCCCTTGTGTCATTGGCCTCTGCCCTTGTGTCATTGGCCTCTGCCCTTGTGTCATTGGCCTCTGCCCTTGTGTCATTGGCCTCTGCGCTTGTGTCATTTGGCCTCTGCCCTTGGGTCTTTGGCCTCTGCCCTTGGGTCTTTGGCCTCTGCCCTTGTGTCATTGGCCTCTGCCCTTGTGTCATTGGCCTCTGCCCTTGTGTCATTGGCCTCTGCCCTTGTGTCATTGGCCTCTGCCCTTGTGTCATTGGCCTCTGCGCTTGTGTCATTTGGCCTCTGCCCTTGTGTCTTTGGCCTCTGCCCTTGTGTCTTTGGCCTCTGCGCATGTGTCTTTGGGCTCTGCGCATGTGTCATTGGTCTCTGGGCTTATGCTGGTGGCATCAGTTTGGCACACTTCAGAATCCATTGACTAATGCATTTGGGTCCACCACATCGCCTACCCAAAGATTGAACCCTAAGCCCTCCTCTAGGTATCTTGCTTATTTTGACTTGGTGGCCTAATGGAGAATCAGAAGGGAATGTTCCTCCCTTTCCAGACTCACTCCAGCAGGGCAGTAAGTGCTTCTTGGCCCTTTCACCATCAGGCTTCTGTGTCTCAAGTTTGTAAGGCTGCGACCTGTATCTGAAGTAGTGGATGCCAGTGTGTTACAGGCAGCTTTGGGCTATATCTTCATCTGTTGTTGAGATTGCTCGCCCCTCTATTTCAGAACTTCTTGGGGACATCCCTCAATGAATGATTAAAAAACAAACATTTTTTTCCTGAGAGACCAAAAGGGTACATATACTCTTAAGAATGAGAACACACACACACACACACACACACTTGGACTTGATGGACTCATGTCTTTATTCAACCTCAAATACTATGTAACTATGTAATTCCCATAAAATACCTTTCTTGGAGTCCATTAAGGATCACTACCCCCCCTTGCCCCCTCTTGTGCTTATTTATTGCCATTATGTATTTTTACTGCTTTGCAGTAACTAAGCAAGATACCAAGAGAAGTGGTTATGAACATTAGGGGCAGACCTTCAGTTTTTTCCCAATCCTACAGAAGGCGGCAGTATAGCCAATGGTGTTCATGAATAGGGAAGTTCTCGGATACTAATTTGAGTTCATCTGACCCTGGAAGGAAGCTGGCAGCGCCGGCACAATCAGCTGTAGCAAATATACGCAAACAAAGGAGCGCGATGCTGACGCCATCATTGACCTGATATGGCCACAAAAAAGTGTTATACTGCAGTTCCTTATTTATTTATTGTTTTTTAACCTCTTTTAAATTGTATTTCATTTATTATTATTTATTTAGTTTTATTTTATTCATCTCTTTCTGAAATTTTTTTTATTTCAGCGGTTTGCTCCTGTTAACTATATGTGAATGTTTCGATCATTTGAGAAAGTTTTTCTTTTCTCTTTTCATTCCGCCATAGGTATTAGAAACCTGCGTGAAAAACTGCGGCCATCGCTTTCACGTGCTTGTGACGCACCGCGATTTCATTGACGGGGTCCTTGTGAAGATCGTCTCCCCTAAGAACAACCCGCCAACCATCGTGCAGGACAAAGTGTTGGCTCTGATCCAGGTGAGACCTCCAACTTTTTGGAAACGAGCTGAAGCTGTGATCGGCCCGTGTAGTTACAGGGCCAGGGAACTCGGTGTAAGGGCTCTTTCACACCATCTTCGTTCGGGCTGTGCTGGCTGTTTTTTCCAGCTCAGCCCAGACTCACGTGAAGGCCATTTGCCTTGTCATGGGTGGTGACAGTTCACACCACTGAGTCCCGTGGTGTGCGCATAGACAAAGTACAGTATGCAGTGTTTTTTTAAAATCTCACCGCAGTCAGACGCAGTACAAGCGCATCGTACCACGGTGAGCCCATAGAACTTAATGACATGTCACTTGTGACATTTCAATAAAGTTATAACAAAAAAAAAAAGAGAAAAACAGTGCGATGCACCTCAATCAAGCATATCGGCACTATCTGGGACACGCACACCAGCAGCTGAGCGCAGCTGCTGGTGTGAACAAGCCCTTACTCCACCTGCAGCTGGCTTGTAGAGGTAGCTGCAGTGGTGCTGGCAGTGGATGGCTCTTTATAGGGCGGGGGGGATGTTGGTGGGCGAGCTGCTGTCTGGGGATGCTAGTTACTGGGGGGCATCTTGATGGTGTTGAATGCTAGTTACCGGGGGGGGGGGTGGGTGCTTCTGGCTCTGTCTGTCCGTCGTCCCACCCACCCAGCTCACAGGCGTCATTGGTTGCCAGGAGCTGGGCAGAATGCCAGCTAAAGCGTCCCAGGTTGCTAAGATCTGGCTGGGTGGGGAGACGTGTAAAGCCATACACAGGTGCTAAATAAACCCCCCTCTCCCCTCCACATGACCCAACCACCTCAGGATGCCTCATTATAGCAATGTCCCTGAGCTGTAGTATAGTCAACAGTAGGGCAATACATGCCAAGAAAGTCTCAGTACATCAGAACAAAAGCAGACAAGAATCTCTTGTTTACTTTTCCAGCATCCTTGCCTTATATTTAATTAGCTCAGACATTCCATAGTATTCTTCTTCACTCCTCCCACGGCAGTTACATAACGTTGTATGGTAGGGAGGTGAGGGGCGGAGGAGCTGGGCCTACACAGGCAGTAATTAGACACTCCCAGGGGAGCAGAGGGTTGTAATGTGGCGGGGTCGGGGTTGGACTGAAGCAACTCTTCCTGCAGTGGTCGAATTCCATAGCAAGCTTAAAGGCACATTGCAAGTGAATAAAAAAAAAAAAACTTTATGAAAAGGATAAACGTTGCAGGTAATCATTTACAATACCTCATTTTCTATGCTTTTACCTGCATTTTTTTAAGTTGGTTACAGGGTCTCTTTAAAGTGAGCCTGTGTTTTAGCCTCCAGCAACGTTGTATCTCCTGGAATTAACAGGTCCCCTTTTAATTAAAACCCAAAGTATCAGAAGTAGAGACCTGCTGGCCGAGGATTAGAATTTCAAGGGGACGGCGTCTCCATCTGCTGTGCGGTGCAGATCAGATGTCACCAGCCTGGTCTGCAGGGAAATGTGTCAGGGGCTATAGTGTTCCTGCAGTCAGTTCGGTGTGTACTGTGCAAGGGACCAGTTCCCTTCTCCTCCGCCGTCCTCTTACCAAACACACAAATCTACTCCTGAGATACATGGTACGGGGTATCTGTTCCTGCTCTGGGGCCCACATAAAACATTCTACAAGGTAAGTGATACAATAGAGACCTGCATGCAGAGGTTATAGACCGGAACAGGGGCCTGTTGGAAAAAAAATTTGACGCAATGCTTTTTTTTTTTTAGAAGTATAGAATAAGTGTATATGTGTATATATATTAGGGATTCACCGATACCGGTATTTTGGTATCGAGCACAAGTAGCGATATTTTTTTTCCCGGTACTCGTCAATACCGGAAGTCCCATTAAGGAAGCCAGGCGGCGTGTAATGACTTGCCATCCGGCTTCCCGATTAGGAAAGCTTGTGACGAGAGAGCATGAAGGCAGCTTCCCGGCCAATCAGGAAGCTGGGCGCCGTGTTATGACGCGGCGCCCGGCTTCCTGATTGGCTGGGTGCTGTGTAATTACACGGCGCCCGGCTTTCTGATTGGCCAGCTTCCTGACCATTCAGGAAGCCGGGCAGCGTGTAATGACGCGCTGCCCGGCTTCCTGATACAGGAAGTATGGGGCTAGGAATCGGAGCATTTGGGCGAGTACGAGTTGTTTGAGAACGTGATAGTTCAGTAGTTAGGTTGAGGTGGGATAGGCTTCCCTGAAGAGATGAAATGCACATATACAGCGTTATTCACAAAAGGGGGAAGAGTTTGGGGAAGGCCGGAGAAGTGAACAATCTAGGACAACATAGCTGAACTGGAAAGTGAGCGGATTGGAGAATTTTTTCCACATCAGCTATGTTGTCCTAGATTGTTCACTTCTCCTGCCTTCTCCAAAACCTTCACCCTCTAGTGAATAACCCTGAAAGACTTTAAAGAGTATCTGTAGTCCAACACTACACATAAATATGTGTTTCTATCCCAGTTCTATCCCACTCCTTATAACCATAACTGTCTAGAGGTTTGTAAACTTACTTATTGAAGCTGTCAATAGGATGCACTTCCTATGTCACCACACTCAGAGTCTGTCTTCTGAACAATCTCAACATCTGAACCATGTAACATCATCATTGCTTGCTGGAAGCAATGGATGATGGGATATGTAGTGTTGAGAAATGGAGATTGCGTCACATCAAGCAGCAGGGAAAGAGACACAAAGCACACTGGGAATCCAGGAAGTTGTTGGCAGTGATGGACAGACGGAAGGCGGCGCTCTCTACATAAAAGGGAGCCTTGATTGTATTATCGGAAACAAGTCCACTATGTATTCCTATTACAATGCTGATGGTATAACAGGAGAGGACGTGCTGGGACTTAACAACTCCTTTAAAATAGTCAGCTGCTAAGGGCTGGGCATGCCCTCAGTGTCACAGTGCTCAAGTCTGACGATCGGTCATGCGGGTATTAAACTCGGCAGTGTAGGATAGAGGATGAAATGAGGACCTTTTTGACCCATATTCAGTGGCTCTGTTTTTTTAGAGGGGCCCAAGAAGTGCATTGGGGTGGCAGGGACTCAATCCTAACGTAAGCAGCGAAAGGAGCCTTCTCTACAGCTCAGGCTCGGTTTGCAGTGTTGAAATAACTTACAAATGTAACCTTAAAGTATATTTAAAGGAGAACTATGAGATGAGTGCTTTTCACTCACCTCATAATTCTAGCCGACCTGTGACAATGAGACTGTCACAGGTCGGCTCAGTAGATCGGCAGGTGAGCGAACATATACCGGCGTTCGCTCACCTCTCGATCCTGTCACGGCTCTCTGCCGTGACAGGGGAGGGGCTGGATTGCCCCCTCCCCGCTCCGATCCCCCAGCGCTGACTGGCGGAATGGATGGGGGAGGGGGCGGGTACAGCTGGCTCTGCCTCTAGATAGGCAGAGCCAGCTGTCACTCACGCAGCTGGGCAGATCCAGACATAATTGCGGCGTCTCAGTATACCGCGAGCTGTAGCTCGCGGTATTCTGAGCTTAGGGTGACGGGAGGACGCTAGTTTGGGCCCCGCAGTTACCCTAAGGAGAACTATGGGAAAAGCCCTGACCCCATAGTTCTCCTTTAAAGCCCCAAGTCTTTTTTGATTTTTCTTAGTTCTGGATAGAATATCAATGTCTGTACGTAATATCTTGTTCCATTACAATATAATTACTTACTGGGATGACTGCACCTGTCTGATCTCATTATAAACCACCAAAATGGTTGTGTAAGATACCGCCAAGCTAACTGCCTTCTTTATAAATAGCCCCTGTGTCTGCATTCCTTTGTGGGTCCATATGGAATTGGGTTATGGTGGGAAAGTCACACTTTTAGATAATTTTCAATGAGACATTTACAATTTTGTGAATTTATAGAATGGATCTGTCTCCC